GGCCATCTACCCAGGTCAGCAATATGCTGAGGAGTCCTTCAGGGTTGTCCTGCAGAGAACATGTCCTTTAAGTGTCTGAGAGCTGGTAGACGTGATCTGAAAGAAAACCAGTCAGAAGAAAGTGAGGTAACCAGGACTGCACTTAATGTGGAGCCTCCAGAGGAGAGGCCACCAACAGGGAGCTAACGGAGGTGGTGACAGGCTAGCAGAGACTGCATGGTTCCCATGTGCCCCCCATCCTAGGAAGAAGAGACATCTGATACAATGATAATATGTATAGTTTAAGAAATCTAAAATAGTTTAGTCCCAAACTACCATTTCCCCCCTTTCTCTTGAAAGATGGCTCTTCTCCAGCACTAACCATAAGTTTCTGGTGTGGGCTGCCCATCACAGACCCTGCCCTCCTAACCCCAGGGGTAAGCTGTGATCTAGGCTTACCAGTCACATCTTTCCTTAGGATATTTATGGCCAAAATTTGGTGAGAAAAGCTCTCTTTTCTCTCTAATTGAGATCTGAAAGCATGTGACCCCAAAGGAGCTTTCAGGAGAAGACAGACAAAAATATGTAAACAAAGATGACTTCAGGCACTGAAAAGTGTTACGAAGATAAAATGGGCTGATGTGATAAAGGGAAGCTGCTTTAGCTTCCCTAAAGAGAAGGCATCTCGGGGCGCCTGGGTGGCTCAGTCAGTTAAGCGGCTGCTTTCGGCTCAGGTCATGATCCCAGGCTCCTGGGATCGAGCCCCGCATCGGGCTCCCTGCTCAGCAGAGAGCCTGCTTCTCCCTTTCCCTCTGCCTGCCGCTCTGCCTACTTGTGCTGTCTGTCAAATAAATAAATTTTTAAAAATCTATTAAAAAAAAAAGAGAAGGCATCTCAAGGAGGTGACATTTCAGAGAGAAACTGAAGGTTAAAAAGATGGCATCACAGGGATGCCTGGGTGGCTCAGTCGGTTAAGCGTCTGCCTTTGGCTCAGGTCATGATCCCAGGGTCCTGGGATCGAGTCCCGCGTCGGGCTCCCTGCTCTGCGGGGAGCCTGCTTCTCCCTCTGCCTCTGTCTCTCTCTCTGTCTCTCATGAATAAATAAATAAAATCTTAAAAAAAAAAAAAAAAAAAAAAGATGGCATCACATAAAAATCAAGAGCCTCCCAAGAACACAACACGTGCAAAGTCCTTGACACTAGAACTAGGTCTGAGGGGCAAAAGGGAGGCCACCAAGACTGGAGGAGGGAGCGTAAGAAGAGTAGAGGGAACATGAGGTTGGAAAGGTAGCTGGGACAGATCATATAAGGCCTCAGACACTGTGCATTTCATGCTGGCTCCAATGAGAAACTACTGGAGGGCTTAAGCAGAGGAGTCAGTGATCTGATTTAGAAAGACCACAGTGACTACTGTGGGGCAGACAGACTAGAGGAGGGCAAGAATGGAAGTGGAGAATCTGAAGCTTTTGGAATTCTCATGCACTGCTGGTGGGAAGGCAATATGATACAATTACTTTGGCTAGTTCTGTTATATACACTCTATGACCCAGCAATTCTAAGCCATTTATCCAACAGAAATGAATACATACATGCACTAAAACACATGTACAGGAATAGTCATAGCAATCCCATCGTAACAGCTCCAAAATGGAAACAACCAAAATGGCCATCAATAGCACAATATATTGTAGTATATGCATATAACATGGATAAATATAATCACTGATGAGCTGCATAACGTAAGACTGAGGAAAAGAAGACAAGCACCAAAAATACATGTTGTATGATTCAATTTTATCACAAAAATAGACAAAACTAAACAATGGCATTCGAAATTAGGATGTAGGAGCACCTGGGTGGCTTAGTTGGTTGAGCGTCCAACTCTTGATTTTGGCTCAAAATTGGTTGAGGGATCAAGCCCCACATTGGGCTCCATGCTGAATGCTGAGCCTGCTTGGGATTCTCTCTCTCCCTCTCCCTCTGCCCTTCCCACACTCTCTCTAGGCGCTCTCTCAAAAAAAAAAAAAAAAGAAGAAATTAGGATGTAGGGAAGAAGAGTAACTAGTAGGAACATGAAAGTCTGAGGTTTTGAAAATATTCTATTTCTTGATCCAAGTGGCAGGGTCACTTTGTGATAATTCATCAAGTAGTATACTTATAATATGGGCAATTTTCTATATTTATGATATGCTTCAATAAAATAACTCATCTTTAAAATACAGAAGCAGAAAATCATAAGAAGACTGCTGAAATCTCCCAACCAAGAAATGATGGTAGCTTGGAGATAGAAAGAAACAGGCACATTCATGATATATTCCATAAGTAAGCTAAAACAGATGGACTGCTGATAGAATACAGGAAAGTGAGTATCTAGGATGAGTTCTAAATTTTTGGCTTGAGCAACTGAGTGTGCCATTTACTGAGATGGGTAGGGTTTGAAAAGAAGAAAATCGCAATGAAGAATTCATTCTATTTTGGCCATATTAAGTTTAAGATGCAAGAGAGAAAGGATATAAATGTAAATCTCTTGACGAGAAGGGATGGAAAGGAAAACATAAGGGACAGTGTAACAGAACATGAAGATGTTTCCTATACAGTCCCATGTGAGCAGACAGCACATAAGAGTAGGGATGTGAGTGAGCTAGTGGAAATAATAATGAGACAATGAGGTCTCATCTGATTGTATTGCTTTTCTCCATGAAATATGAGGCAAAGACATCAGCTGAGACTAGGGTTTGGATAGGTGAGTAAAGATTTAAGGAGAAAGAGTAGAAAAGTCAATTTACTAGGGAAATAGAGTAGGATCAGGATTTCAGGGCCATGCTGAGTGCTCATGTGAGTTTTATGGTTATGAATTTGAACTGAATGCAGCTGGGTTCATGTGGTGGAGACTGTTACTTGTCTCCCAACACTTCTCTCTTCCTAACAGAACTCCCAATTATAGCTGGGCATCTGATCATTCAGAATGAAGATCCTCCCAGCTTCTTTGCAGCCTGGTATAATGTGTTATAAATTGTGTGTGGAACTCCTATAAACTGCCCTGAAAGGAAAAGAGCATCCCCTTTCCCTCTCTTCCTCCTTCCTGCTAGTTAGAATATGGATATGGTGGCTGGAGCAACCATCTAGGATCATGGAGTAACCTTAAGGATGGAAACCACACAGCAGCAGATCAGAAGATAGGAGCCTGGACCCCTGATGATCATGAAACCATCAAAATCACCAGTTCTGGACCTTCCACATCTAGATTTTTATGTAAAAGAGAACTACCATATTTAAGCCACTGTATTTTGAGTTTTCAATCACCATCACCTGACCTAATCTATGTAATACAGATTATCTGCATGCTTTCCCCTATTGATGTTCAGCTGCTAGGGTATAGATGCAGAAGAAGATAACCACTTTCACCAGGGTTGGGTTTAGCCAAATAAGCACCAGACAAAAAAGGGAGACAAGAAAGTGAAATTTGGGGCACCTGGCTGGCTCAGACAGTGGAACATGCAACTCTTGACCTCAGGGTTGTAGGTTCAAGCCCCACGTTGGGTGTAGAGATTACTTAAAAAAAAAAAAAAAAAATGAACTATATGAGAGAGTGGTTCTAGTGCACCCCAGAAACTCCATGTGAAGAGAAATGAGAACAGCAAAGAGGAACAATAGAGAGAGCCAAGAGAACCCCAGTTCCACAGCTCCTTCTTCATTTTGATCCTTCCACTAAATCTACCTGTGGGGTTTATGTCACTTGGGAACAAAAAAGGAGTAGTAAGTAATACAGCATCACCTTTCTACCTTTCTTGACAGATGGAATTTTTCCATTACATAGAAGAATATCATACTAACAATACAACCCAGCACACCAACCTCATCCCCTTTTTCAAGTAACCCTTACCTGCAGTGAAAAGAAAGTAGGAGGGGTGGGAAAGCAACTAAAAACCAAAAAAAGTGAACATTCAAAAGACAGAGAAATAAGCAAACAAGACAGTGTCCCCCCCCAAAAAAAACAAATGGAGAAGCCTACGAGGGATTATTTCCAAATCAATCACATTGCTGTCTAGCAGGAATTATTCCACTTAGTAAATTCTTAAAGTAAGACAAAGCCCGGTTGAAACAAAGCCAGAAGGGAGTAGGATCACATAAAGTTCCCAACCAGCAAACTGACCGTGTTTTAAGTTTTTGTCAGATGGACAGAACAGAACATCTCAGTGGTGGTAAAATTTTCAGGCCAATCCAAAGAAGTTACATGTCTTCTTCAGCTGCAAGCCATGGACCATGGCCCCCATGACAAGGCAGATACGACAATAAGAGCAAGGACAGAAAGTAGAGGGTGAGGCATGAGGGAACAGGGCAAAGGATATAATACTGATCAGCATCAGCAGAAAAAAGAAGCACCCTCTCTCCATTTCTCTCTTCTGCAGATTCTTCAGAGCTCAGTGTGGGAGAAGAAGCTTTGTTCCTGCCTACCTCATCAGTATGTGTCCTGTCAGGCTATGGTCCTAGGGTAAAGTGGACCAGAAGAAAAGATGGCAGTAACAGACCTGCATAGTGTGATAAGAAAAAGAGGTAGGAAGAAAGTACATGAAGGAGGGAAGAAAGGGGGGAAAAGAAGGAAGGGGAAACCCCACAGCCATTCATCTGGATCTGCTAGTCCAGGAGAAGTGAGAGATACCTAGGGCATCAGAAACCTCAAAGGGCATGCTCATCTCTGACAGAGAGATGATCAACTCACTCAGAATCACTTACACTTCCTAGCCTCTCCGCAACAGGGAACTGTATGCTACTGTGTACTCCAATCTCACCAAATTCCCAAAAGGAACCCTTCTAAGACAGAAGAAAGGCAAAGAAATGCAAGAAGGCATTAGTTAGGAGCAGTTCAAAATTCAGTTCAAGGTGCCCTCTCATTGTTCAGGCTGAGAAGAGATTTTTATTTAACTAAAGAATTTCTCCTGGAAGAAATTTCATTCCCCCCCAAATTACCCAATCCAACATCCATTACACAATGCAAGCCAAAAGTCCAAAAGAACACCTTACCTTCACCAGCACATAGTCCCCAGGCTGAGCTCTGACCTTGACCTCAGAGTTATTAACGTCCTCCATTTCTACATCAGGGAAGATCACTTTAAGGTTTCCATCATTCCGGCCACACAGATCAGTTGCAGAGCGTTTACTGTGCTGCAGAAAGAACAGAGAGTTATGAATCTGTCATAGTCATCAGTTCCGGGAAGGCAAAAATTATGCCTTCTCTTTCTCAGATCCCTAAGGGTCTTACTTATAGAACATTCCTTAATCAAGGAATCACTAAAGACTATGTGTTTACTGCTGCTTCACCAACAAAGACAATGCATGGCACACTATAGAAACTCAATAAAGTTTTATTGACTATATATTAATAAATGACTCAATCAGTCTTTGATTACAGAATTACGTTCCTCAGGAATGGACCTCCAACAGTCCTGAAGGCAAGGACATATGGGTGATGCACTTGGCAAAATGATTTTCACTATATCCGGTCTCATAGTAATCACTCAGGAATGTTCTGGGGTTGTCTGGCCTGGGTTATTGTAACCGTAATGAACAGGCAGACATGAAGCCAGAGTCTCCATCACAACACACAGAAGACAGGGTCAGGAGAATTAAAAAACCAGTGTAATGGAATTAACTTCTAGAATATACAAGTTTTTCTCTTCCAGCCATGATGAAGTGACAAGGACCAAATTTATCCTCTGGCCTAAACCAGGAAACTAGACAAAATATATGAAATCACTATTTTCAGATACTGAACTACAGACTGTACAAGACTGTGAACCCGAGAGAAGAGAAACAAATGAGATGAGCCCTCCAAAGACCTCTGCATTCTGCCAGAAGGCTTTATCAGATCAGAGCATGCAAAGCAGGGAGGGAGATTCTCGAGGCAGCACGGTGGTTCTCTCTGGATTTAGGAAAAAGAGATCAGAGTTCAGGGAGCCTACAGTAGCTAGAAATAGTAGAGCAAGTTTTAGAGAAAAGGGAGTAAAGCAGAAAAAGAGCTGTAGAAATATGCACAGGGATCCTCTGAGTCCTTGCTAAACACTAACACCTGCTTGTATAGAGTGAAACTCCATCAAGTCAGGCAGAGAGAGTAACCTGGGAACTGTCAGCAGACGGGCTCCCAGAGCTCATGCAGGGCTGGGAATCATCAGACCTACCACTGGACAGTCCTCACTGATTCCTTGGAACATGCAGTAGTGACTCCAGAAAAGTCACACCTTAGTAATGACGCTAAACTATCCTTGGGATAAAAATGCTTTCCTTTTTTTTTTTTTTTTTAACTTTTCTAACAAAGCTTAAAAATGAGCCTTGAAAGGATTAAACTGAACAGCAAATAACATAACTGCCTATCAGAACAAAGCCCAACACAAAATCCAGACCTCAAAAATGAATCACTAGATATGCCCAGAAGCAGAAAAATGTGACCCAGAATCAGGAGAAAAGTCAATCAACAAAAACAGACCAAGAAATAACAGCAATGATGGAATTATCACAAAAATAACAAACCAGTTTTTATAATTAAATTCAAAGGAAACTAAGTTTCAAAGGAAAACAAGAATACAGAAGAGAAGGTATTAAAAACCAAATGTAATTTATACAGATGGAAATATAATATAGAAGATTAAAAATTCAATAGGTAGTAGCAGATTATACACTGCCAAAGGAAAAATAGTGAACCTGAAAACTGGGCAAAAGAAACTATCCAAAATGAAGCACAGAGATATAAAAGGCAGAAAAAAAACGAACAATTTCAATGACCTTATATATAACATCATCAAGTGGTTGGATATATAAGTAATTGGAGTCACGGAAAGAGAATAGAAACAGGAGTGAGTGGCAGAAGCAGGAGGAGTGCAGGAAAAATATCTGAAGAATAATTGATGAAAAATTTTCAAATTTGATGGAAATTATAAACCCACAAACTAAGAAGCCTCAACACATCCCAAAGAAAACACAACAGATAAAAACAAAGAAAGCCATGCCAAGACACATCAAATTTCTAAAAACAGTGATAAAGCAAATATCTTTAAAAAGCAGCCAGAGGGGAGCCTGGGTGGCTCAGTCATTAAGCGTCTGCCTTCGGTTCAGGTCATGATCCCAGGGTCCTGGGATCGAGCCCCACATCGGGCTCCCTGCTCAGTGGGGAAGCCTGCTTCTCCCTCTCCCACTCCTCCTGCTTGTGTTCCCTCTCTCACTGTGTCTCTCTCTGTCAAATAAATAAATAAAATATTTTAAAAAATAAAATAAGGGGCGCCTGGGTGGCTCAGTTGGTTAAGCGACTGCCTTCGGCTCAGGTCATGATCCTGGAGTCCCGGGATCAAGTCCCATATCGGGCTCCTCGCTCGGCAGGGGGTCTGCTTCTCCCTCTGACCCTCCCCCCTCTCATGTGTTTGCTCTCTCTCATTCTCTCTCTCTCGAATAAATAAATAAAATCTTTAAAAAAAATAATAATAAAATAAAATAAAAAGCAGCCAGAGAAAAAAAGATATTTTAGCTCTTAAACTAATACTACTTTAGGGAAACAGCAGTCAGGTAAGATTTTAGAAGATTCCCCACCGTCTCCTTACAAAACACTTACTAGTTACAAAAGGAAAAAGAGTAACTTTTCAGTCACCAAGCCTAGTTGACACCACCTTAATGAAATGTTCAAAATTAACATCACCAGTAATGAAGCAATCACAACTATATGCTACCCCAAAAGATAAAATTAAGAAGGACACAATATCATTTCTCTAATATGCCTGCCTAAAAATTACATAACCTGAATCTTATCACAAGGAAACTCATCAGACAAACTCAAATTAAGGAACGTTCTACAAAATAACAGGCCTATAACCATCAAGTGTCAAGATTATGAAAGTCAAAGAAAGGGGCGCCTGGGTGGCTCAGTCGTTAAGCGTCTGCCTTCGGCTCAGGTCATGATCCCAGGGTCCTGGGATCGAGCCCCGCATCAGGCTCCCTTGCTCGGCGGGAAGCCTGCTTCTCCCTCTACCACTCCCCCTGCTTGTGTTCCCTCTCTCACTGTGTTTCTGTCAAATAAATAAATAAAATCTTAAAAAAAAAGAAAGTCAAAGAAAGACTGAGGAATTATTCTAGACTGAAGGAGACCAGACAGACATGACAATTAATGCAACATATGACACTGACCTGAATCTTTTTCCTATAAAGGAAGTTCTGAGACAAGTGGAGAAACTTAAATGGGGTTGGAGGATTGGAGTGCAGAAATCTAACAAGGTTAATTTCCTGATTTTGATGGTTGTACTGTAGTTATGTAGGAGAATGTCCATGTTTATATGAGATATATACTACAGTATTTGAAGGGGTTGAGGGCATCAGGTCAGCAACTAACTCTCAAATGACTCAAAAAAAAGTTTTTGGTACTGCGTTGCAACTTTTCTGTAAGTTTATGATTGTCTTACAATAAATTTTTAAAAAGATAGTGTTCAGATTCTTCTATGAGTTGAACAAACCAACCATAAAAGAATACTTATGAGACAGAGAAATTAGAACACTGACTAAATATTTGATAATATTAACAAACAACTGTCAATTATTTCAGATATGATAATAGCATTATGTTGGGGTTTTTTCTTAAAAGAGTCCTTATCTTAGGGAACCTGGGTGGCACAGTCATTAAGTGTCCAAATCTGTGTTTTGGCTCAGGTCCTGATCTCAGGGTTGTGAGATCAAGCCCTGCGTCAGGCTCTGTGCTGAGCTCGGAGTCTGCTTAAGTCTCTCTCTCCCTCCCCCTCTGCCCCTCTGTCTCCTCTCTAAAATGAATAAATAGGGGCGCCTGGGTGGCTCAGTTGGTTAAGCGACTGCCTTCGGCTCAGGTCATGATCCTGGAGTCCCAGGATCAAGTCCCGCATCGGGCTCCCTGCTCAGCAGCGAGTCTGCTTCTCCCTCTGACCCTCACCCCTCTCATGCTCTCTCTCTATCTCATTCTCTCTCAAATAAATAAATAAATAAATAAATAAATAAATAAAATCTTAAAATGAATAAATAAATCTTTTTTAAAAAAAGAGTCCTGGGGGCGCCTGGGTGGCTCAGTCGTTGAGCGTCTGCCTTCGGCTCAGGTCGTGATCCCAGGGTCCTGGGATCGAGTCCCGCATTGGGCTCCCTGCTTGGCGGGAGGCCTGCTTCTCCCTCTCCCACTGCTTGTGTTCCCTCTCTCGCTGTGTCTCTGTCAAATAAATAAATAAAATCTTTAAAAAAAAAAAAGAGTCCTGGGTGGCTCAGTGAGTTAAGCGGCTGCCTTCGGCTCAGGTCATGGGTCCTGGGATCGAGTCCCACATCAGGCTCCTTGCTCAGCAGGGAGCCTGCCTCTTCCTCTCCCTCTGCCTGCTGCTCTCCCTGCTTGTGCTCTCTCTCTCTCTTTCAAATAAATAAAATCTTTTAAAAAATAAAAATAGAGTCCTTATTCTTTTAAAAATATGTTTAAAAATATGTTACTGACAAAATACTATGATGTGTTAAGTATAATATATATAATATGATGTATAAGGTACTTGCTTCAAAACAATCCAATGGGGGCAGTAAAGATGAAAACAAAATTAGCCATGATTAACACTGAACTGACAGCTGTTGAAGTTTGTTAATGGGTACATGGGCATTCATTATACTGCTCTCTCTATATCTATGTATTTTTTTAATTCCCCATAATTAAAAAAAAGGGGGGGGCATAGGGAAGGAATATTGTTTAGAGGCTCTAGAATGAGAGAGACCCGAGTCAAATTCTGGCTCTGCCACACTAGCTGTATGGCCTTCGGGAAGTTATTCTACTTCTCTGAATCTCTGTTTCATCTCAATAAAAGCGCTAATAATAGCACTACCTCCGGGCGCCTGGGTGGCTCAGTCGGTTAAGCGACTGCCTTCGGCTCAGGTCATGATCCTGGAGTCCCGGGATCAAGCCCCGCGTCGGGCTCCCTGCTCGGCGGGGAGTCTGCTTCTCCCTCTGACCCTCCTCCCTCTCATGCTGTCTCTCATTCTCTCGCAAATAAATAAAATCTTAAAAAAAAAAATAGCACTACCTCCAAAAACTGTAGTGGGACTCAATGTGCCAATGACCATAAGTGCGCAGTTTCTTAAGAAAAAAAGAAGTGCACAGTTCCTGGCAGACAGTAAATGCTCAGTATACATGAGTTATAATCATCTTCTCTGCCACTCTGGATATAGCAACTCAAGTTTTAAACTGGCCAGGATTAAAGGAAAGAAAGTCTCCTTTAAAAGAAAGTAAAGACTCCCAATGGCTAGCCCTGAAAAATCCATTTATTCTCTAGCCCCAAGTGAGTATTGGCTTATGTTATATGCATAAGAAATAATCTTTCTTTGGTTTCTTTAATTACCATAGGTTCTCTGTAAGGCTGATGAAGTCAGGGACACAGATTAGTAAACTTTGAGTACTTATTCATTCATTCAAAAGACAAGTACACTATTCTGTGCCTGACTCTGTGAGGAGAGCTGGGAATACAGTAAGACCTAACTCTTACTGGATGAAACGTAGACTGCTAATAGACATGTACATGTACAGATCTCCAGAATCACAGCTGATACCCTAAATTACAAAGCACTTAATGAGGCAAACACCTTTTGGGGTATCACACTAGCTGAGCATCACCATCCATCAGCCAACTGCCAGTCTAGAACACAGGAAGATCCCCTAACCCAGATGAGCTGATCAAGTACCCCTCCTGGAAGCTGGAGCTGGGACTGAGAGACACGGTTTTGGTCCGTGAATAGCTAGAACTATAATATGTAAACACAGGAACTACAGGGCTGCTGTGCTCTGCAACAAAGATGAAGCAGCGGAAAAGCTGGTCTAAGGAGACGAGAAAGTATGACCCTCAAAGGGCTTCCCACACTAGGCACAGTCCTTCCTGCCCTTGGACTCCACAAGACACCCCTGAAGTACAAAAAAGAATTCCTTCTGGCTTAGGCTGAATGGCGTGAAGAAATTTCTCATTGTTACTCACCAAAGAGTCCTAACAAACACAAATACCAGGCAATTAGTGGCTTTGATGCTACCATATCCTAAGGCATAGAACAGGACTCTCCTTTCTCAATCCAGGACTTAGGAGGAGTCACAGAAAGGGCCCCATCTCTCTTTCCCCTCCTCTTTCCAATGGCTGCAACATATAGCTTCAGGCTCCCAAACTCACCCCTTATTCCATCTGTTTAGTGCTCTAATAGCTAGGTTCCCAGGCGTGACCACAGAAGCCTTTAGGAACCCCAAACTTCCTAAAATGCAGTACATTTCTAAGAAAATGTGATTTTAAAAAGAATCGAAGGAGCACCTGGCTGGCTCGGTTGGTAGAGCATGCAACTCTTGATCTCAGGGTTGTGGGTGAGCTCCACATTGGATGTGGAGATTACTTTAAAAAATAAAATCTTCAGAAAAATTGAAAAATAATAAAAATTGAAAAGGATTGCAGACAGACAGTAAAATTAATTCTAAAAACATACATACTGCTTCCAGAAAGATGGAGCAGACATACTTCTTCCTAATCCTTCTGCTGCTAAGTACAAAAATATCTTTCAGGAATGAAGAAGAAATCCAGACATTCTAAGATGAAGGAAGAGAATCTACTGCCAGAGTGTCTAAAGGAAGTTCTCTAAAAAGAAAGGAAAAGATAAAAGAAGGAAGTTTGGAACATTAGGAAGGAAGGAAAAAAACATAATGACATGATTACCTATGCAGAAAATCCCAAGGAAAATGCCAAAAAAACTCCTAGAACTACTGATTTCAGCAAGGTCACAGAGTACAAGATAAACATAAAAAATTTAATTATTTCTGTACAATATAGTGAACACATGAAACACCTGAACTAAAACATACAATAGCAACTACAACAGCTTAAAAAAAAAAAAGATACTAAGGTGTAAATCTAACAAAATACATATAAGATCCTTAACACAAAAACTCTGATAAATCAAAGATGATCTAAATAAAAGGGAGACATACTGTGTTCCAAAAAACAAACAAAAAACATATATACATATGACCTTACCCCCTCCACCAGCACTAGCTGGGTACAACCCACAGAGGCCATGTTGGCTTTTGTTGCTTCTTCTCGAAAGACAGTAATAAGTTCCTCCAAACGCCTTAATTTTACCTCTTCTGGGACATCATCTTTCAGCCTGTGATATGCCCGGGTCTTCTATTAAAAAAAAAAGAGACAGAGGTCACCAAAGACTCGTAGAACCCCCTTCCCTCCTTTTTTTTAGATTTATTTATTTTAGGGGCACCAGGGTGGCTCAGTCAGTTAGGTGTCTGCCTTCAGCTCGGGTCATGATCCCAGGGTCCTGGGACTGAGCCCCATGTCAGGGCTGCTTCTCCCTCTCCCTCTGCTGCTCCCCCTGCTTGTGTTCTCTCTCTCTGTCAAATAAATAAAATCTTTAAAATAAAAAAAATTTATTTAGAGAGAGGGGAGAGAGTACGCCTGCACTGCATGCTAACAAGTTAGGGAATGGGCAGAGGAAGATGGGGATAGAGAATCCTCAAGCAGACTCCCCTCTGAGCAGGGAGCCTGACAAGGGGCTGGATCCCAGGATCCTGAGATCATGACCTGAGCTGAAATCAAGAGTTGGATGCTTAACTGCCTAAGCCACCCAGGTGCCCCCACCGCATAGAATCCATTCTTAAGGTACAGACGGGGACCAGGTTCATTCCACCTCCAAGTTACAGACATACGTACAGGAACCCAAGCCATGCCAGAAGGGTTCTCTAGCTCTAGGAGCATTCTAAAAGAAAAAGGTAACTATGCAGTCAAGTCGCATTTTTACAAGGGTTAAATTCTAAATTTAGCACATGAAAATCGACTCAAAATGGTTCTTGATATATTTATAGGATACAAATGTAACCTTTATACAAATGTAACACACTAAATAACTCATTAGCAGCATATTTATAAGACACAAAGTGCAAAGCAGCCTAAATGTTTATCAATAGGTTATCACTAATACAAATTATGCTTTATCTATACAACAGAATATTATACCAGTGAAACAAGAATGCGTAACTCCGTATGTACTGATATGATTGCTCTCCAAAACATACTCTTAACAGAAATAAGATATAGATCAACATGTACAACAATTTTGGTGTAAAAAGAATAAATAAAAATAGGTTTATAAATACATGAAATATCTCTGGAAGTTTACAGAAGAAATTCCTAAGAGTGATTACCTTCAAGGAAGAAACTGAAAAACCAGGCAACCTGGGAAGAAGGAAGAACAAGTACTTCTCATTGCACACTATTTTGAACTTCTGAATTTTATATAATAAGCTCATATTACCCAGTCCAAAAAAATTTTTTAAAGAAAATTTATCCTTGAAAAGCCTTTTAAATTGTTCAAAACTATGGACAGGGTGCATACATGTACGTGTTGTGTGTATATAAACACATTTTTTAAAAGATTTTATTTATTTATTTTTGCGAGAGAAAGAGGAAGAGCGAGCACGAGCAGGGGGAAGGGCAGAGGGAGAAGCAGACTCCCTGCTGAGTAGGGAGCCGGATATTGGACTCAATCCCAGGACCCCAGGATCATGATCTGAGCCAAAGGTAGACACCCAACTGACTGAGCCACCCAGGCACCCAACACATTTTTTTTTAAGTTTTCTATATACAAGCTTATAACACAGTTGAAGAACCACTGAGCTAGATATAAGTACGGAATAACAGGAAAACCTACATACCAAAGTGTGGTCGTCCAATCGGCCTTTGAGAGAACTAGCAAATAGCGAATGGGTTTACTCTATTTTGTCTTCTTATTAACAAAAACTTGTCTCTATTGTGTTTACCATTACCAAGCACTATTCTCATTTCAAAGGTGGAGAGACCAAGGACCTTTCTCAAGATCACATAGTAAGAATGGCAGAATTTGAATGCTTGTTCTCATCCACTAGACTACTTAAGTCTCTGTAACCTTAATCCTAACCTAGAAATTAGATCCCTAAGTGAACACTCATATTCAATGCCCATGATGCTGCCACCACACACTGTAAACCCATATCCCAATTCTAGCATTATAAAGAATTTCTCTTGCATATTTGTGATGTGGAAAAGAAGCAGTAGATTTGGAACTTGAATCTACTCTGAAGCTTCATTCCTGAAATAATTCTGTAACAGACATAAACATACACAATGGCCCACTTACACTGCCTACAGAACACTAGACAGTGGGCTCTAAAAGACATGAATTAGCTTCGTTGACGGCAGCTGAGTGATGGTGGTGGCTAAGGTCATGGGATCCTTCATTCATTAAACAGCTTTCCTGAGCCTCCTGGCCACAGATCCTCTTCAGCCTCCAGCCCAAACACAAGTAAGGCCCCAACTGAGGTGACTGGAGAGATGAGAAATGACCTGTGCAAATTCATCCTTACCATCGAGAAAATAGCAGAGAACTATCCCCTCTCTGCAGGAAATACACACTACTCTCCCTTTCCTTTCTCATCTCCTTCTGCTTTATTTTCCTGGGAATCTGTGTACAGGAGAAACTCTATAGTGGCTATCAGTAGATTCAGTTGGCCTAAAAAAATGAAAACTAAAATAGCTTAGGATAGCTAGGAGGACAAGGTGCATCTGTGAAACAATTCACATCTGTAGGTCAAAAAGTCCTGCATGATTTTAGCTTTCTTATAAGGAGAGTAGCATCCTTACCTCCACATTCAAATTCTAAACAATCTAAAGATAATTTAAAATATTTTAATGAAAATAAATATTGTCACAAGCAATCCATTTTCATCTCAAATCAATGAATTGCATAAAATAGTAGACAAGTTGATTAAAATAAAAATAAAGAAATGAGTGGTAAGATCCCCGTGGCTTCTCAAAGACTGCCCTGCTGCCACTTTCTTTTCCTGCCAGTTGTCTACAACCAGAAACCAGTCAGGAATTCTGTCAGTGTCAGCACAGAAGTAGCTTTTCCTCCATCCCAGGGCTTACCTGTCTCATACTGTAAGCAAAAAGAAAGCCCATGTTGTACTGAACTTCCCGAAGCAAAGACACTGTCTGGAGGTGATCTTCCTCCGTCTCACCACAAAAGCCAGCAATGAAATCGCTGCTGAGGCTCACTCCTGCAACGCATGACAAAGGACAGCATGTCACTGCTGCTTACCTTCAAGAGAGGCCTTTGGCACTAGTGGGCTACAGAGGGCAGAGTAGCAATTGTAAACCTTTCCTGGAGCTGTTCAGCTCATGTGCAAGGGAAACAAAATAGTCATTATAGAGCAAGATGGGATAGGCTTGCTTATCCAGAATATTCCCATGCCAGTTCTCATACTTCGGGGTGCCTGAGTGGCTCAGTTGGTTAAGCGTCCAACTCTTGGTTTCGGCTTAGGTCATGATCTCAGGATCATGAGGTCGAGCCCCGTGTGGGGCTCCATGCTCAGCACAGAGTCTGCTTCTCTCCCTCTGGTTCCTCTCCTCGTATGCATGCACATCCCCCCCTTAAATAAATAAATAAATCTCTTATAAAATTTTTTAAATAAAATCTTTAGGGCGCCTGGGTGGCTCAGTTGGTTAAGCGACTGCCTTCGGCTCAGGTCATGATCCTGGAGTCCTGGGATCGAGTCCTGCATCGGGCTCCCTGCTCGGCAGGGAGTCTGCTTCTCCCTCTGGCCCTCCTCCCTCTCATGCTCTCTGTCTCTCATTCTCTCTCTCTCAAATAAATAAATAAAAAATCTTTAAAAAAAAAAAAAATCTTTAAAAAAACATACTTTTTTTTTTTTTCTTAAAGATTTTCTTTATTTATTTGACAGAGAGAGACACAGCAAGAGAGGGAACACAAGCAGGAGGAGTGGGAGAGGGAGAAGCAGGCTCCCCGCCAAGCAGGGAGCCCAATGCGGGGCTCCATCCCAGGACCCTGGGATCATGACCCGAGCCGAAGGCAGACGCTTAACGAATGAGCCACCCAGAAGCCCCTAAAAAACATACTTTTGAAGTCAATTTCACATAATGTTTAAGACTATAGGAAAAAAAACTATTGGTCACTAAATACTAAGTGCTATGCTTTCCCATCTATTTAATTTAATCTATGTAATTATCCCAACAATCCAATGAGGTACTACCAACTCTATTTTATATATACATATATATATATATTTTAAAGTAAACTCTATGCCACACATGGGGCCTGAACTCACAATCCTGAGATCAAGAATCCCATGCTCTACTGACTGAGCCAGCCAAGCACCCCTTATTAACTCTATTTTATAAATGAGGAAACTGCAGCCCAGAAAACTTCCACACTATCCTGCCAATCCAAAATGAAACTATTTATGCATAATGCAAGTTACAATAATTAGAAATTTGGAAACAAATGTAGACATTGTCAACCAAATCTAAATTAAAAGACTACAAAGTAATTTTATTAGGAGGAAGAGAAAAGAGAAAAAAGATTAAGAGTTAAGATAATAGGAAAGGAATTACCTCTAAGTACACATTTTTAAAGATATCAATTGCCCCCAAATCAGAACTAATTTAGACCAAACTAACTTTGCCAGCTAGTAAGAAAGAACAAGGTCTGTCCCATATGTTCAGAAACACAAAGACTATAGAAAACAAATCTCTTTCACCCTGAGGTCACAAGCTGATCCATATCTTTGTGTATATCTAGCAAGACCAAGACATTACAAAACCAAAAAGGAGTAAAATGAGAGAAAGAGAAAAATGAAAAGGAGCAAAAGCAGCATGAAGGGTGTCATAAGATAGTGTCATAGGCGTTGCCTGTATCTGACAAAAATGGTGTGGTCACTGGTAGAGTGATGTGCTCAACAGAATATTTCTTAAATGTACCTGGGATAGATTCTCTGATATGATGAATTAACTCCACATAAGCTTCTCTTGAATATCTGCGATAAAGAACAAAAAGAAAAGGCTCAGATGAACCAATCTTCTTTAAATGAATGCTACAAAAAGATAACACTATGAATTACCACATATAACCACTTCTCATCCACACAAGACAGTACAAAAGTAGGTTAAAGTACCCAAAAGAGCCCTTTTGATCCAAATCCTGTAGGGTAACCTAATCTACAGCCCATGAATCTTTAGTTCAAGAACATACATTATTTTAAATAGCCTTTTTATTTTTTATTTTTTTATTTATTTTTTTATTTTTTTTAAGATTTTATTTATTTATTTGACAGAGAGAGACACAGCGAGAGAAGGAACACAAGCAGGGGGAGTGGGAGAGGGAGAAGCAGGCTTCCCGCGGAGCAGGGAGCCCGATGCGGGACTCGATCCCAGGACCCTGGAATCATGACCTAAGCTGAAGGCAGAAGCTTAACGACTGAGCCACCCAGGTGCCCCTTAAATAGCCTTTTTAAAAAATAAGTAGGGGGCACCTGAGTGGCACAGTAGGTTAAGTGACAGATAGCTCAGGTTCTGATCTGTGTCATGAGATCAAGCCCCGTGTCAGGCTCCACGCTCAAGAAGGAGTCTGCTTGAGATTCTCTCTCCCTCTCCCTCTGCCCCTCCCATTCGTGCTCTCTCTCTCAAATAAATAAATCTTAAAAAAATAGTAAGTAAAGGGCGCCTGGGTGGCTCAGTTGGTTAAGCGACTGCCTTCGGCTCAGGTCATGATCCTGGAGTCCCTGGATCGAGTCCCGCATCGGGCTCTCTGCTCAGCGGGGAGTCTGCTTCTCCCTCTGACCCTCCCCCCTCTCATGTACTCGCTCTCATTCTCTCTCTCAAATAAATAAAATCTTAAAAAAAAAAATAGTAAGTAAATAGCCTTTTTATTTCATAAGTGAGGACAGTTAAACACTTAGGATTGCCAATGTGGAAAACAAGGCAAGGCACTAGTTCCATACAGCTTGCCATTTGTCACTTTACCCTTTCAGTTTTACCTCTGCAATACATATTACTCCCAAAGTAAGTGAACACACAGAGGTATGTTTAAATTCCAAGACTTAAAAAGCTTTAATGTTGGGCACCTGAGTGGCTCAGTTGATTGGGCAACTGCCTTCGGCTCAGGTCATGATCCTGGAGTCCCTGGATCGAGTCGCATCGGGCTCCCTGCTCAGCGGGGAGCCTGCTTCTCCCTCTGACCCTCCCCCCTCTCATGTGCTCTCTCTCTCTCATTCTCTCTGTCTCAAATAAATAAATAAAAGCTTTAATGTTAAAAGCTACAGGATTCCAATTTTAAAAAGAATGTGCCACACAGTAGGTGCTTCATAAAAAACATGCTAGGGGGCCTGGGCGGCTTAGTCAGTTGAGCATCTGACTTGGTTTTGGCTCAGGCTGTGATCTCAGGGTCATGAGATCAAGCCCCACATCAGGCTCTGCACTCAGTGTGGAGTCTGCTTAAGACTCTCTGCCCCCTCCACACATGCCCTCTCTCTCTCTCTCTAAAATAAATAAATCTTAAAAAGAAATGCTAAACAAATGACATGAGTGATTCAGTCCTTAGTCTACACTTCTGGAGTAAACAGAAGCAAGTTATTATGTCCATGAGTTTACTCATGTAACAAATTTATTGAGCAGCTCCTATGTGCCACACACTATACTAGGTTTTTAAACATTGTGTGGTCCTTAAGAAAACATGGAAAGGTACATGATGCCCCCTCCCCAAGCAAGTCTGACCCCCTCCGCATAGCCTCCAATACACGGCTGCTTCCACTCTGGGCTGGTAGGTGGATCTGCTTACAGATGTTGTCTCTCTCATGAATCAGCTGTAGAACCTGATCAGATAGAACACATTAAAGGTCATCAAAGTCTCACCAAAGAATCCTGCAGAAAGGAATACCAACCCCACTGTTTCTCTACCAAGGTTAATTTTCAAGTAATTAACAGGCTGATTACCCAAATCCTTTACTTTTACTCAAGCCATGTTATCTGTCCCAGACATTTCACTTGCTGGCATCTCTGCTTTCAAAAAGTGAAAAAAGCAAGCAGAGGTCAAATTCAAGCCATGCGCTGACACAGACAAAAAAGGAAAAATGGTATTTGGTTCATCTAACTTCCAAATGAGCCACTTTAAAAGACACCATCATGGGGCGCCTGGGTGGCTCAGTTGGTTAAGCGACTGCCTTCAGCTCAGGTCATGATCCTGGAGTCCCAGGATCGAGTTCTGCATCGGGCTCCCTGCTCGGCGGGGAGTCTGCTTCTCCTTCTGACCCTCCCCCCCTCACGCTCTCTCTCTCAAATTAATAAATAAAATCTTTAAAAATAAATAAATAAGTAAAAAATAAAAGACACCATCAAGGGGTGCCTGGGTGGCTCAGTCAGTTAAGTATCTGCCTTCGGCTCAGGTCATTATCCCAAGGTCCTGGGATCAAGCCCCATGTCCGGCTCCCTGCTGAGCAGGGATCCTGCTTCTCCCTCTCGCTATCTCTCTCTCAAATAAATAAAATCTTATTAAAAATTAAAAAATAAAAGACACCATCAAGAAACTGGAACTAGGTGGGGCACCTGGCTGGCCCAGCTGGTGGAGCGTGCAACTCCGGATCTCAGGGTTGTGTTGGAGCCCCACACTGGGTGTGAGATTACTTAAAAATAAAATCCTTGGGCACCTGGGTGGCTCAGTTGGTTAGGCGACTGCCTTCAGCTCAGGTCATGATCCTGGAGTCCCGGGATCGAGTCCCGCATCGGGCTCCCTGCTCAGCAGGGAGTCTGCTTCTCCCTCTCCCGCTACCCCCTCTTGTGCTCTTTCTCTCTCTCACTCTCTCTCTCAAATAAATAAATAAAATCTTTAAAAAAATAAAGTAAAAAAAAAAATAAATAAATAAAAAAATAAAGTAAAATAAAATAAAATCCTTAAGGGGCACCTGGGTGGCTCAATCAGTTAAGTGCCCAACTCTTGATTTTGGCTCAGGTAATGGTCTCAGGGTCCTGGAGTAAAGCCCTGCACTCATCAGGGAGTCTGCCTGAGAGTCTTTCTCTCCCTCTCCCTCTATCCCTCCCCCTGCCCCTCACTTGCACGCTCTAAAATAAATAAATCTTTAAAAAATAAAATATTTAAAATAAAGAAACTAGAACTAAGAAAAAATATTTGAAAAAATATACTGACAAAGGATTTATATCAAGAATACATAAAGAGGGCGCCTGGGTGGCTCAGTTGGTTAAGCGACTGCCTTCGGCTCAGGTCATGATCCCAGAGTCCTGGGATCGAGTCCCGCATCAGGCTCCCTGCTCAGCGAGGAGCCTGCTTCTCCCTCTGACCCTCCCCCCTCTCATGTACTCTCTCTCTCTCTCATTCTCGATCTCTCAAATAAATAAATCTTTAAAAAAAAAAAAAAAAAAAAGAATACATAAAGAACTTTTACAACTCAATAAGAATATAATCCAGTGGCAAAAAGGTAGGAGTGGGTCCAAAAGACAGCTATTTCACCAAAACAAAAAACTCAAAAAAAAAAGGTTTCACATGTGGGCTATACATTCCATGCATTGCTAAGGCACTTTGATAAGTACCTTCCATACATTATACCTATTTCCCAACAACCTAAAGCAGGAAGTTATTATTAATCCCTTTTTATAGATGAAGATGACAATCTGACCTTGATGCCCTTGAAGACAAAATTTTTTTAAATATATCAGTCCCATCTTTGCCCCACCTTGGTGGACTTTAAATCTTTGGTGGAATTAAAGGGCAATACAGCAATACACAAGATCCCCTGAACAAGATTCAAGGACTGCTGCCTCCCACTGGGTCCAGCCTTTGGCATACTTAAGGATACTGGTAACAGCCTGGCACAGTTCACTGTCGATACTCACCTCATCAGGAAAGTCTTTGGGGTGGGGAGAGGTGAAACGGATCCTCATTTCAGGATCTACTCTGGAGACCCGATCCAGAAGGTGAGCAAAACGAAGGCCCCCTTGCTTGGGTTTATAGTTGGTAGAAAAGCCACGGCTCAGGTTAGTAGACACTGCATTGTTGAACTGGACTTCTGAACTGTCCCGAAAACTATTAACATTCTGACCAAGAAGTGTCACTTCTTTCAGCCCCTAAGAAAGGGAAAATAAATACATCGGAAGCAAATCAAAGTTTTTTTGGTAGTTTCATGCCAAATCACTAACTGAAATTAGTTGAATCTACCAAGAGCCATCCATAAATGTATTCTATTCTGTATTTAACCAATAATTTCACATTTGGTCATCTTGTCTGAAGAACTGAACTTCAGAATTTTTAAAACCTTAAATAAAAATTATCTTCAAAGCATTTTTAAAGTAGCAAAAACCTGGACATAAATTCAATGTTTAATAATAATGGTTAATTTATAACACCATAAATCAAATTATGACAGCATTCTGTGAATTGAATATTATATAATCATTGCCTATGAAATATTCTTCCCAAAATATTTAGCCTAATTTGAATCAAGCTTTTATACCTAACTTCCAGTTTACCAGAATTCAGAGGAATATTTTATATGACAACATGAAGAAGCAATCAGACAAATCCAGACGTATCTGAGCTCTTCAAAAACTTAATGTGTCATTTAAAGAAAACAACAAAAAAGTGAAAGGGCTGTTTTAAATTAAGAGGAATTGAAGAAATATAAAAACCAAGTAAAACCACAAATCTTCTTTTTTTTTAAAGATTTTTTAAAGATTATTTGATAGAGACACAGCGAGAGAGGGAACACAAGCAGGGGGAGTGGGAGAGGGAGAAGCAGGCTTCCTGCGGAGCAGGGAGCCCGATGTGGGGCTCGATCCCAGGACCCTGGATCATGACCTGAGCCAAAGGCAGACGCTTAACAACTGAGCCACCGAGGCGCCCCAAAACCACAAATCTTGATTGGACCTTGGTTTGAAAATAAAAAAAGCAATACAGTATTTTTGGACAGGGGTGCCTGGGTGGTTCAGTCAGTTAAGCATCTGCCTTCAGCTCAGGTCATGATCCTGAAGTCCCAGGATTAAGCCCCATGGAGATCTCCATGCTCAGTGGGTACTCTGCTTCTCCCTCTCCCTCTGCTCCTCCCCGTTTTCTTTCTCTATCTCTCTCACTCTCTCTCAAATAAATAAATAAAATCTTTAAAAAAAAAAAACAAGGTATTTTGGACAACGAAGAAATTTTGAGGAGCACCTAGCTGGCTCAGTTGGTACAGCCTGGGACTCTTGGATCGTGAGACCAAGCCACATGTTGGGTGTAGAGATTACTTTAAAATAAATAAATAAATAAATACATACATACATACATACATAAATAAATAAATAAATAAGACATTTGGGAGCACCTGGGTGGCTCAGTTGGTTAAGCATCTGCCTTCAGCTCAGGTCATGATCCCAGAGTCCTGGGATTGAGCCCCAAGTTGGGCTCCCTGCTCAGTGGGGAGTCTGCTTCTCCATCTCCCTCTGCCTATCGCTCCCCCTGCTTGTGCTCCCTCTCTCTCTCTCTCTGTCAAATAACTAAATAAAATCTTTAAAATAAATAAATAAATAAATAAAACAATAAACAGAATGTCTCTATCCTGAAGAGTAAGTTCTGGTACTGTGAGGGAGTTGGAAGGGAAGAAGGAGACAACTTGAGACCAGGAAGCACTTGGAGAGGTAGGGTATGGAGAATACCTCACAGTGCCTGTGAGCAGCCAGAGACCAAATCAGGGAACTGAGAATTGGGGAATGGGAGATGAGAAGAGAGCACTGCCAGAGTGTAAGAACAGAGACAAACTGCTGACTGAAAACTAGAGCAGGGGCTAGCTCCCACAGTTCCTGAGCCAAGCAAGTAAGGCAACAGGGAGACTCTAGTGGAAGAAAAGCTCCATTTTCCCATCTACAGTCCTCCTCTTCAGGGCTAGAAGATCCAGGCCTAGAGTTAGCGGGGACCAGCTCCCAAAAGGAAGAAAACAGTTATCTCCCCTCTGGCCTCTGACGGGATTCACTACCCTCATTTATTCTCTGTCCCTCAACTAGTAAGCTGGCTCCGTAATAAAAATGAGGAAGATATTTGGGAAGTTCCCCTATAATGGACAAATAAATCATTCTCTGAAAATTTACTATGTGCCAGGTAGTTTAAAAACATTTAGGGGCAGGGCACCTGGGTGGCTCAATCAGTTCAGGGGCCTACTCCTGATTTTGGCTCATGATTTCAGGGTCTTGCGATCAAGCCCTCCGGTGGGCTCCACACTCAGTGGGGAGTCTGCTTGAGATTCTCTCCCTTCCCCTCTTCCTCTGCCCCTTTCCTCCCCAATTCTCTCTCTCTCAAATAAATAATCTTTTTTTTTTTAAAAAAGATTTTATTTATTTATTTGACAGAAAGAGACACAGTGAGAGAGGGAACACAAGCAGAGGGAGTGGGGGAGGGAGAAGCAGGCTTCCCGTAAAGCAGGGAGCCCAATGCAGGGCTCAATCCCAGGACCCTGGGATCATGACCTGAGCCGAAGGCAGATGCTTAACCAACTGAGCCACCCAGGCGCCCCAATAAATAAATAAATCTTCAAAAAAAAATTTAGAGGCACCTGGGTGGCTCAGTCGGTTGAGTGTCTGATCTTGGTTTCAGCTCAGGTCATGATCTCTGGGTTGTGAGATCAAGCCCCATGTCACACTCTGTGCTTAGCACAGAGCCTGCTTGTGACTCTTTCTCCCTCTCCCTCTGTTCCTCCCCCTCTTCACGAATGCGCTCTCTCTAAAAATAAAGAAATCTTTAGGAAAAAATAAACTTAAACTACACAGGCACCTGGCCAACTCAGTTGGTAGAGCATGTGACTTGATCTCAGGGTTGTGAGTTCAAGCCCCACAATGGGTGTGGAGATTTCTTAAAAAAAAAAAAAGAAAGAAAAAAAGAAAAAAAAACATTTAAACTACAACAATCTTTCCAATAGCCCATCAAGGAAGTTACTATTTTATCTTCTTTTCATAGATTGGGAAATTGTTTCAAAGATGATAGTTAAGTGACCAGGGCACCAAACCAGAGAATGCTGCAGCCAGAATTCATACTTAATCATCTGATTCTAAACTCATGCTCTCTCCATTCCACTGTGCTGCCTCCTAAGCAAACTTCACATGGATCTGCCTATAATTTATAAGCAGCAAATCAAAGATATTCACCCAGGTATTTCTTTCTGGCCAGGTATGGGTTCTAAACTTAATACAGCTCAGAGATAGCACAGGCAGGAAAACAAGAAAGGTTCTCCTCATCCTCCTAAAACCATGCTTAGAAGACAAAGGCCTGGAGAACTTTTCACCTGCTCTGAAAGCTTCCTCACTTCCTCTAGAATGGAAGCAACAGGGCGACTCCTCTCCCGGCCACGTGTGAAAGGAACAATGCAGTAGCTGCACATATTGTCACAGCCTCGCATGATAGACCTGGGGAGAAAAGCACCAAAACTTGGTAACAGGACTAACAGGAGTAGGATGCCTTGCTCCCACCCAAGGAGGAGGTCATAGCTCCCTCGGCATTATCCTTTGGCTCTGAATCCTCTTGGCACCATACTCACACTGGACCAATCTGAGACATTTTTAAGGCAAACATTTTTTATTTTTAAAAACTAGTATTTAATCACAGGATAGAAACCACATTGTAATTGGTGGATATAGCAGTTACCCTGAGGGAGCAAACTGGCGAGGGAATGGGGTGCCTTTATATATACGCCATATATATAAAATATAAATATTTTGTTTGAACGTTTTATATCTAGACCAGAAAAAAATAAATATCATAAAATGTGTATAATGAATAGAAACCTCAGGTTTAAGACAGAGGGTTCCACATTTCTCACTCATTCCTGATCCAATTATTATGGTATCTAAGTGAAATCACTCTCTTCCATTTGCATCCTGTATATGAAAGCCTCAAATTATCAATGGAGTATGGGATAGCCGTTAAAATGACAGGTTGGCAAACTTTCCATAAAAAACCAGAGAGAAAATATTTTAGGCTTTGCAGACCATACAGTCCCTGTCACAACTACTCAATTTTGCTATTGTAGTACCAAATGCAGCCACAGATTATATATAAACAAATGGGCATGGCTGTATTTCAACAGAACTTTATTTACAAAAAACATGCTCTAACTTTTTTTTGCCAATTTGCCAACCTCTGTTATTGAAAATTTAATAACCTAAGAAATGTTCACCATTTAAAATAAGGTCATAAAACCAAATAAATTGGGAAGCCTGGGTGGCATAGTCAGGTGTCTGACTCTTGGTTTCAGCCCAGGTCGTGATCTCAAGGTCCTGGGATCAAGCCCCAGTCAGGCTCTGAGCTCCACGTGGAGTCTGCTTGGGATTCTCTCTCCCGTCTCCCTCCACCCCTCCCTGGTATTCTCTCTCTCCCTCTCTCTCTCTCTAAAAAGAGTAAGTAGGGGCGCCTGGGTAGCCCAGCTGGTTAAGCGTCTGCCTTCAGAGTCCTGGGATCATGACCTGACCCGAAGGCAGACGCTTAACCAACTGGGCCACCCAGGTGTCCCTGCCTTTAACATTATTTTATTTATTTGTTTTTATTTTTTTTATTTTTTTATTCTTATGTTAATCCCCATACATTACATCATTAGTTTTAGATGAAGTGTTCCATGATTCATTGTTTGTGCATAACACCCAGTGCTCCATGCAGAATGTGCCCTCCTCAATACCCACCACCAGGCTAACCCATCCTCCCACCCCCCTCCCCTCTTAACATTATTTTAAAAGTGAGAAAGAATGAGCGCCTGGATGGCACAGTCTGTTGGGCATCTAATTCTTGGTTTCAGCTCAGGTTGTGATCTCAGGGTTGTGACATCAAGCCCTTATCGGGCTCAGCCCGGAGTCTGCTTGAGACTCTCTCCCCCTGTCCCTCTCCACCCCCAGCGCCCACCCACCCCCAGCTCATTCATGTGCGCGTTCTCTCTACAGCTCCCCCCAATATAAATAAATAAAAGTGAGAAAGGAGAAATTCACTCCTTGTCTCTTGGGCAGTGTCTCACACAAAGGCAGAAGTAGCACTGGGGCTTGTCTGGACTGGCATGACGTCGGCATAGGTCTCATCCAGAGAGAGCAGCACATTGGCAGCTTGTTGGCCTGACTCAGCAACAGCCAGCAGTCGAGGAAGGTCCCGATAGGCATCTGGACCGGCCAAAATATCCACCATTTTCTCCCTGTTGAGAATCTCCTCCTTTAATCTCTCAGCCATGCAGCCTGGGAGGGGAAAAAAAAAGGCACCTGTTCCCAAATTCATCTGGTCTCATGGCTACTTCTCAGTACACATTACCTCTAGCTAAGGTCAGAGACAAGGGCACAGAAACCTCGCTAAGAGTTTAGCTTCATCGCTCCTCAAATTTGCCCAATACTTCCATAGCACTAGAACCTGCATCTTCCTATATAAGAAAACCACAGGAAGCAAGCAACTAAAGAAATTCAATTAAATGCCGAGAAAAAATTAAGCCATCACCCAGAAACATTTCTAGACATGAACCATCTCTTTTTTCAATTGAAATTTACTTGGTACTCCAAATAAAAAATTTTTTTTCAGGAACTGGCTATAGAGTTTCAAAGTCTAGGGGCGCCAGGTTGGCTCAGTTGGTTAAGCATCTGACATTGGCTCAGGTCATGATCTCAGCATCCTGGGATCGAGCCCCACACTCAGCAGGGAGTCTGCTTCTCCCTCTCCTCCTCGACCACTCGTGGTCTCTCTCTCTCTCTCTCAAATAAATAAATAAAATCTTTAAAGAAAAAAAAAGGATTCAAATGGTAAGTTTTATGTTACATATATTTTACCACAATAAAAAAACAAAGTATTGGGGGAATTTCTGAAATTCCCAACAAAGATATAGCCAGGGGCTTCTATAATGAAGGAACTGATGTGAAAGATTTCAGCTAATGCTTGCAACCTCCTACATCACTTAGTACATTAATCTGTATAACAGGATATGCTCCAAATATGTTTGAACCCTTGATCAAGAGAAATTAATTTAATTATTCCACAATGGACAGCCTGTTTTAAAATTAAGTACATTGGGGCGCCTGGGTGGCTCAGTCATTAAGCATCTGCCTTCAGCTCAGGTCATGATCCCAGGGTCCTGGGATCAAGCCCCGCATCGGGCTCCCTGCTCCTCGGGAAGCCTGCTTCTCCCTCTCCCACTCCCCCTGCTTGTGTTCCCTCTCTCGCTGTGTCTCTCTCGGTCAAATAAATAAAATCTTTAAAAAAATTAAATTAAATTAAATACATTAACTAAATTCTGGGACCAAAAGGGTACAGAATATTCATTTTTGAAACATGCTTCCCAGCTATCTAGATCAGAGCTATCCAACAGAACTTTCTAAGATAATGGAAATGTTCTTTATCTGTGCTGTCCAAACTAATAGCCACTAGTCAAGTGTGGCTACTGAGCAGTCAATAGGTGGCTAGTGAGAATGAAGAAGGGAATTTTTAATATTATTTAATTTTACTTAAATTTATTTTTTTTTAAGATTTTATTTACTTATTTTAGAGAGAGACAAACTGAGAGAGCATGAGTGGAGTGAGGGGCAGAGGGAGAAGCAGACTCCCTGCTAAGCAGGGAGCACAATGCAGGCCTCGATCCCAGGACTCCGGGATCATGACCTGAGCCGAAGGCAGACGCTTAACCGACCAAGCCACCCAGGTGCCCCTTAAATTTATTTTTTTAAGATTTTTTTTTTTTAAGTAATCTCTACACCCAACATGAGACTGTAACTCACAATCCCGAGATCAAGAGTTGCTTGCTCCACCGACTGAGCCAACCAGGGGTCCCTAATTTTAGTTAAATTTAAATAAACACATGTGACTAGTGGCTACCATACTGGTCAGTGCAGATCTAGATCTTCACTTGGGCATATATTAGGAGTCAAGATGAAAAGTGCCTATGCTATAAATTCATGCTGTTCTTTCAGACTCCAAACTCTCTCCTATCCATAACTCTATGCTGCCATAAGCCACATTAGACTCTAGAAAGGATAGGCCAGGGGCACCTGGGTGGCTCAGTTGGCTAAGCAACTGCCTTCGGCTCAGGTCATGATCCTGGAGTCCCTGGATCGAGTCCCGCATCGGGCTACCTGCTCGGCAGGGAGTCTGCTTCTCCCTCTGACCCTTCCCCCTCTCATGTGCTCTCTCTCTCTCATTCTCTCTGTCTCAAAGAAAGAAAGAAAGAAAGAAAGAAAGAAAGAAAGAAAGAAAGAAAGAAAGAAAGAAAGAAAGAAAGAAAGAAAGAAAGAAAGAAAGAAAGAAAGAAAGGATAGGCCACTTTCTGAGTACCTATTACTACAAGGCACTATGAAAAGCCCTTTTATTAGCTTTATCTCATTTAGTCTTACAGCCTCTGACATCAAATACAAGAGTTACACAAGGTGTATAACAATTCTTCAAACACTGGGAATCTAGCCTCTAAGGGTTTCCCAAGTGTGAAAACACAAAACCTGCAAATTACCAGATACCTAGAATCCCAATCCTCAGAGGTACTTGGGAGCGGAGCCGTTTTGTCTTCAGGGCTTTAAGCTGATGTAAACGATTCCAGATGGTCTGCTCAGCCTTCTCCCTATAAAGATCAAAAGAGGTAGAACTGAACCTGAAAATAAACTGGAGCACAAGCTAAAAGAGTAGGACAATGGAAATAAAATAAAAACAAACTTCAACCCTTTAAATGAATATCTATCTTTTAGGTTAAGGGAAGATAGGCAGGGAGCCAACTAAAGAAGCACCACTTGCTGTAATTCACCCTTCCTGCATACGTCCAAACCTGACAAGCCTTTGAGTCAAACTCAGAAACAATCTACTTCACAAAGACTCGTAGAGAGTTTGTCCACCCTTTAACTTCCCTATCACTTTAACTATACTTTTCCCTGTAGTTAGCAACTTCTCTTTTATTGTTTGATTTTTTACATAGTGCTTTCTGCCAGATGTTGGAGCTATTTGTGTGTCTGCCTTAGTTCCCATATCAGACCAAGCTCCTTAAAGCCACGTTCCAAGGAAGATTCATTTCTGAATGTTCCAAAGCCATGTAGTTCAGTGTCTTATAGCAGAAACACTCCAAACAAAAATGTTGGATTATATTAACACTAAGGAAAACATTAACACTAACATGCCTTGTACACAGAAACAAAGTAAGAAATAGTATGTTCACTTCTGATGGATGCCACCATCTCTGCACTGACTGCACCCTAACCCTTATGATGTGAATTACATCATAAACGTGCCATTACCTGCAAGAGAAACCTTGGGAAAAGTTGGGTGCCTCAGCATACCCTCAGTTTCCTCATCTATAAAACAGGTTTGATAACAGCACCTATCTCATATGGTTGTTGTGAGAATTAAATTAGTTAGTGCATATGTAGTGCTCAGCACAGGACCTGATACACAGTACATGCTCAGCAAACATCAACCGAGTTCTATCATTGCTATCTCCACTGTTGTAAAAATCACAAGTCCACTGACTCATCTCCACAGGTCTGCCATCCTGGCACTGTTAACTCTGGCATTAAATATATTCACTCTCTAGGTAAAGAACAAACTCTCACCTGATAGAACATGTGACAAGGAGGATCACATCAGCCTGAGTGGAAAGCAAGGGAAAATTATGATCTTTGAAATCTGCCTTGTAGAATCACTATCCATTGCCCTTTTTTTATTACTCTGGTAAAACATACATAACATAAAACTTACCATTTTAACCATTTTTAAGTGTACAGTTCAGTAGCATTAAGTACATTCACATTATGCAACCATCACCACCCTCAAGCTCCAGAACCATTTCATGTTCCCCAACTAAAACTCTGTACCCATTAAACACTAGCTCCCCATTCCCCTCCACCTCCCAGGCCATTTTTAACTTAGTTCCTTGCCTAAAAGGGAGCACCACCATAGAAGTTTCAAAAATAACTGGAACAAAAATACACCTTAGTTCCATGCTACACACTTTACTCAAGGGAACTCACTCTCACCAGGCCATACCCTATTTCTTTTTTTTTTTTTTTTTTAAAGATTTTATTTATTTATTTGAGAGAGAGAGAGAATGAGAGACAGAGAGAATGAGAGGGAGGAGGGTCAGAGGGAGAAACAGACTCCCTGCCGAGCAGGGAGCCCGATGCGGGACTCGATCCCGGGACTCCAGGATCATGACCTGAGCCGAAGGCAGTAGCTTAACCAACTGAGCCACCCAGGCGCCCCAGCCATACCCTATTTCTGAAGCTGCATCTAAAAACTGGCACAAATGCAGAGTCTCACCCAGGCCCAAAAAACAATAGAAGCAGAAAATGAATGTACCTCTTGGAGGTTCCTGGTCCGCAAGTAGCCACTCTTCTGTAAGACAGACCAGGCTATCTCTGTGTCATTCACATTCATCTGGCAGCCGTAGGTCTCCAGATAGACTGCAATGAGAGGGGGATTCCACAGTAGGCAGACTAAAAGGGACCACATATCTCAAAAGGTCTCCTTCCCAAATGCCCTAGAAACATCTGAGGCAACTGGTTATCCACTAAATCCCCTGTTGCCTTGGGGCGCCTGGGTGGCTCAGTCGTTAAGCGTCTGCCTTCGGCTCAGGTCATGATCCCAGGGTCCTGGGATCGAGCCCCACATCGGGCTCCTTGCTCAGCGGGAAGCCTGCTTCTCCCTCTCCCACTCCCCCTGCTGTGTTCCCTCTCTCACTGTCTCTCTCTGTCAAAAAAAAAAAAAAAAAAAAATCTTTAAAAAAAAAAAAAATCCCCTGTTGCCTCAATTCTAAGACACCATTAAGTTCCAGGTCTACCCCCAAATTAATGACAGCCTTTCAGAACAAAAGAAATCCTACATTATACACATACATAATTATAGGCCATATCATTTAAAAAATAGGAGAGGGGCGCCTGGGTGGCTCAGTCATTAAGCGTTTGCCTTCGGCTCAGGTTGTGATCACAGGGTCCTGGGATCGAGCCCCGCATCGGGCTCCCTGCTCCGAGGGAAACCTGCTTCTCCCTCTCCCACTCCCCTTGTTTGTGTTCCCTCTCTCGCTGTGTCTCTCTCTGTCAAATAAATAAATAAAATCTTTTAAAAAAACAAATAAAATACAGGAGAAACATGCACCTGAGAATCAACGCGATGTGTTATAAAAACAATTAGAAAAGGGAGGACTAGCTGATAGTGTTGATTATCAACTTGGGGGAAAATTTAAATCCACACATTACACCCCTCCTTCTCACAAAGAGGTTCTCCAACCTCTGAAGGGAGCAGCAGTGGCCAGAGGGTACACAAAGCCATAAAATAAAAATGAGGTAACTTCCTACAGTAACTTCAAACAAACATATTAAATGAAAGCAAGCACTGGGGGGCCTAGCTGGCTCAGTTGGTAGAGCATGCAACTCTTGATCTCCAGATTTTAAGTTCAAGCCCCATGCTGGGCACAGAGATCACTTAAAAATAAAATCTTTTTTTTTTTTTAAGATTTTATTTATTTATTTGACAGAGAAAGAGAGCACAAGTAGGCAGAGAGGCAGGCAGGGGGAGAGGGAGAGGCAGACTCCCCGTGAGCAGAGAGCCCAATGTGGAGCTCGATCCCAGGACCGTGGGATCATGACCTGAGCTGAAGGCAGATGCTTAACCGACTGAGCCACCCAGGTGCCCCTAAAAATAAAATCTTAAAAAAAAAAATCTTAAAAAAAAAGAAAGAGGGGCGCCTGGGTGGCTCAGTTGGTTAAGCGACTGCCTTCAGCTCAGGTCATGATCCCAGGGTCCTGGGATCGAGCCCCGCATTGGGTTCCCTGCTCAGCGGGAAGCCTGCTTCTCCCTCTCTCGCTCCCCCTGCTTGTGTTCCCTCTCTCGCTGTGTGTGTGTCTCTCTGTCAATTAAATAAATAAATACAATCTTTAAAAAAAAAAAGAAAGAAAGCATGGCTGTATTATGACGTAAAACACATCTGCATGAAGTTTTAAGAACATCAATTTCATACTCTGGCAAGCCCTTTGAAACTAAATTCCTACATCAACTCCTCTCCAACACATTTTAATCAACAGACCCAAATAAAGTCCAAATGAAGTTAAAATTTAATGACAAAAAATCATATGAAAACCAACATAAAACAGCAGTAATTTATAAAAAAAAGAAACATCAGGGTATTCTTAAACCTTCCTTGGCTCACTTTCCTTGTCTAAAAATAAAAACACCAAGGGTCGCCTGGGTGGCTCAGTGGTTACGTATATGTGTATGTGTATATGTGAAGATACGTATTATAGCATTACTTATAAAACTTTTGAAACAATTTAATGTCCAACTAGAGGGGACATGTACCTCATAGTACAGCACAATGCAGTATTTTATACCAATTTTTAAAAATTTAATTACAAAGGGGCACCTGGGTGGCTCAGCGGGTTAAGCGATCCAACTCTTGATTTGGGCTCAGGTCATGATTTCAGGGTCATGAAATGGAGCCCTGCAAGGGGCTCTACACTCAGCAGGGAGTCTGCTTAAAGATTCTCTCCCTCTGCCCCTCCACCAGCTCACATGCACATACATATGCTCTCTCTAATAAATAAATAAACCTTTAAAAAAAAAAAAAAAAAAAGAGGGGCGCCTGGGTGGCTCAGTCAGTTAAGTGTCCGCCTTCCACGTGGGTCATAGTCTTGGGGTCCTGGAATGGAGCCTGGGATGGAGCCCCACATCGGACTCCCTGCTCAGTGGGGAGTCTGTTTCTCCCTCTCCCTCTGCCCCTCTCCCCCCTCACACTTGTGTTCTCTGCTCTCTCTCGTGCTCTCTCTCAAATAAATAGAATATTAAAAAAAAATTTTTTTAATTTAAAAAAGAGGATGCCACTCCCCCCTGCTTGTGCTCGCTCGCTCTCACTCTCTCTGACAAATAAATAAAATCTTTTTAAAAAATTAAAAAAAAGAAAAAAGAGGAAAAAAAATCTGTTTAAGCATAAAGAATGAGGGGCACCTGGGTGGCTCAGTTGGTTAAGCGACTGCCTTCGGCTCAGGTCATGATCCTGGAGTCCCTGGATCGAGTCCTGCGTCGGGCTCCCTGCTTGGCAGGGAGTCTGCTTCTCCCTCTGACCCTCCCCCCTCTCATGTGCTTTCTCTCTCTCATTCTCTCTCTCTCTCAAATAAATAAAATCTTTTAAAAAAAAAAAGGCATAAAAAATGAATTTTTTTTTTTAAGATTTTATTTATTTATTCATTAGAGACAGAGAGAGAGAGGCAGAGGGAGAAGCAGGCTCCCAAGGAGCAGGGAGCCCGATGCAGGACTCGATCCCAGGACCCTGAGATCATGACCCGAGCCAAAGGCAGACGCTTAACAACTGAGCCACCCAGGCGCCCAAGAATGAATTTCTACATCACCAATTTTGAAAGCTGTCTTATGATTTAAGATGATCTAAAAATTAGAACAGAGATTATAGGGTTTCCAAAGATAACCAAAGAGAAGACTCCCCAGGACTTCTACCCACCCTAGTCACATGGACCAAAAATACAAGTTTCTTTTTTTTTTAATTTTATTTATTTGTTTGAGAGAGAGAGGATACAAGCATGCACAAGTGGGGAAGGGGCAGAGGGAGAGGGAGAAGCAAACTCCCCGCTGAGCAAAGAGCCTGACGCCGGGGCACGCCTGGGTGGCTCAGTCAGTTAAGCGGCTGCCTTCAGCTCAGGTCATGGTCCCGGGGTCCTGGGATCAAGTCCCACATCGGGCTCCTTGCTCAGTGGGGAGCCTGCTTCTCCCTCTGCCTCTGCCTGCCTCTCCCCCTGCTTGTGCTCTCTCTCTCTCTGACAAATAAATAAAATCTTTAAAAAAAAAAAAAAAAAAAAGAGGCTGACGCCGGGCTTGATCTCAGGACCCTGAGATGAACTGAGCCAAAGTCAGACACTTAACTGCCTGAGCCACCCAGGCACCCCAAGTTTCTTTTTTTTTTTTTTTAATATTTTATTTTTAAGTAATCTCTACACCCAACATGGGGCTCGAACTCACAACCCTGAGATCAAGAGTTGCACACTCCACAGACTGAGCCAGCCAGGCGCCCACAAGTTTCTTTATATTAATGTTACTTGATGAAGTCTGACAATTCCATAACCTAGCAGGCTTCCCACACTATTAACCTTCCAAAGCTGGGTCTGCAATAAAAGAATAATTATGAATCAGGTTGTGGATGCTGGAAAGGAACAAAGCAGGAAGTCTGAAGAAAGAAGAAAAGTAAAACCAACCTTTTCTTTGCCTCCCTAAAAGTTCATCCACTGTAAGATAGGGGGGTGGGTCCTCCATGTCTGGTTTCTCTTGAGGAGCTGAAGCACTTCTTAAAAAATGCTGAAAAGTCGGCCCACTGGCCAGCCTAGAGCTGAAATCCTTCCGAACTCCATCTTCCTGCTGCCTCTCTGAACTGGGACATGCAGTGCTGGGGACACTACTATGTGCCCTGCAGGTCCTGAGCAGCAGCCAGGACACAGAAGCCAAGGGCCCCCACCTCTGTGTTTGCAGGACACACTGCAAAGGATGCATGGCACTAAATCAAAGCCCAAAGTCTGCAAAAGAATAACAGGTATCACCAGCATTTATTGAACACCACATACAGGGCAATGCTATAAGTACTTCCAGTGTATTAATACATTTAATAAACAAAAACCCAAGAAGAAGATAATATTATCCCTATTTTACAAGTAAAAACAAAACAAAAACAAAAACAAAAAAACTGTGGCAACTTGCCCAAGATCACACCAAGGAGTGCCAGAGGTAAGATACAAATCCAGGTAGTTTTCAAAACAAAGGGGTGGTAGAGATGAGATGAGATGGTGTGACAAAGTAACAAAGAAGCACCTTGTGCCAGCAATAGTTTCAAGAGCATTAAATCTTTACAGCAATCCTCAGCAAAAAGACAACAGACAGTACTATTACCCCCACTCAGAGATGAGGAAATAGACACAGAGAGGCTGAGGAACTTACCTAAGCTCCCACCTAAGCAACAGAGTCAGGACTCAAATGAAGGTCTATATGACCATAAAGCCCGTGTTCCTAGCCGCCTTGCTACGTTGCCTCCCACTACTATGGAAACCACTTACTATCTGAGAGCATCTTCCTTTGAGTTCCTTCAAATGGAAAGTATCTAACATGGGGCACCATATGTCTGATCAGTGACTCCTACCCTCCAAGAATCTCGAGTTACGGTCTTCAAACTTTCTACCCAGACCCTGTCACACATAGCTGGGGGATGGAAAAGAGTACAACCTTTATAGAGGGCAATTTGCCACTTTCCATCAAAATTACAAACACACAAACCCTTTGACCAAGCTGCTCCATTCCTAAGATATTTATCTTCCAGACAGTCTTACATGTACAAAATGACCCATGTGTAACGCTATTCAATGCCACAGTGTTTCTAACAGCAAAGGAATGGAAAAGATTTAAATGTCATCACAAGGGGACTAGTTAAATAAGTCGTGGTACATCCATGCAATGGGATAAAATGCAACTGTTAGAAAGTAAAGCTGTATCCATACATGACAAAAACAAGGAAGCAAAGTGCCCAATACTATCTATAGTATGCTACACTTTAATCTGCAGGGGAAGGAGCACAGGAATATTAACGTACATACTTGTAAATGAACACAGTATCTCTAGAATGCGTAAGAAACAGTGGTTGCCTCCCAGGAAGGAACCTAGGTGACTCAAAGTACAAGAGATGGAGACACACTTCCCACCTCACATCCTTAACAGACGTCAGGATCTCCAGCCTGACTGCCCCATTCTAGTCATACCATTTTTGTACTGATCTTCACTAGCTTCTAGGCTTTTATACACTCTGTTCCCTCTGGCCGGTGTATCTTCTCTCTGACTCAGCCAACTCCTATGCTTTTAGGTCTCTGCTTCCTCCTAGAAGCCTGTCCTGGCCACCATTCTCAAAGTCTAGGCTGGGGTCCTCCTGTAGGTTCCCAAAGCCTCCTTCTAATCCCCATCTCAAGACTCATCATACTTGGCTGTTAATTACTACTTACACTTGTGCCATCCCTTACAGGCTGGGAGGTCCCTAAAAGCAGGGAATAAATCTCATCCATTTCTACATCTTCAGCATCTCTCATTCAGTAACTGGCTCATGGTAGGTGCTGTACATGTAAAATGAGCACATGTAGCCTTTTACCCCTCTAACTCGATCACCTGCTGTATATGCTACCAGCACTTTAGGCAGGAGCAATGCTAACCTATATTCAAGTATCAGAGAACAGACCTTTAAATGTGAGCTTTAAATCACGCTTTTCCGGGCGCCTGGGTGGTTCAGTCGTTAAGCGTCTGCCTTCGGCTCAGGTCATGATCCCAGGGTCCTGGGATCGAGCCCCGCATATGGTTCCCCGCTCCGCAGGAAGCCTGCTTCTCCCTCTCCCATTCCCCCTGCTTGTGTTCCCTCTCTCGCTGTGCCTCTCTCTGTCAAATAAATAGAACCATAAATAAATGAATGAATGAATGAATGAATGAATGAATGAATGAATGAATAAAGTCACCCTTTTCTGCTCCTTGCTTGCTGTGTGACCTTGGGCAAGTCAAATTCCTATCCTGAGCTGCCAATTCCACATCTGTAAAATAAAGATAAAGGTAGTACCTATGTCCCAGAGGCATTGTGAGAATTAAAGAAGATATTAAAAACCCAACGCGCCGTACGCTAAGTCTTCAGTAACGGCACACTTGCAGCCCGCACTCCCTTTCATGGGAGACACAGAGCACTCCTGTTAAGAACATGGACTCTGGAGTCACAGTCGGCCCCAACTGCTGCCTAGCCCGGTAACCCTGGGCACGTGGGGAACTTCTTAAATTCGGGGAGCTTCCATTTCTCCATAAGTAAAATGGGGATAGTACCTATCTCTGTGTCTGCTGTGAGGATCAAATGTGATAATGCAAATAAAATGTTTGCATTGCACAACATAAGAGCCACGGGGGGTGGGGGGGGGCGTGCCTGAAAACTTGGTAGTCCGTTATACCGACGAGACAGCAGCCTCATCTCAACAGAAGTAAACCTAAGCGGTAAAACATCCCAAACAGGGGCGCCTGGGTGGCTCAGATAGTTAAACGTCTGCCTTCGGCTCAGGTCATGATCCTGGAGTCCCTGGATCGAGTCCCGCATCGGGCTCCCCGCTCAGCGGGGAGCCTGCTTCTCCCTCTCCCTCTGCCTCTCTCCCTGCTCATGCTCTCTCTCTCTCTCTCTCTCTGTGTCTCAAATGAATAAATTTAAAAATCTTAAAAAAAAAAAACATCCCAAACATTTTGTTGGGGTGGCTACAATGCTTCAGGCGCGATGCTTAGCGCTTCCCATGGATTACGGTATTTAATCCTCACGGCAACATCGTCAAGCAGGTTCTATCACCCCCACTTGACGCGTGACGAGGCTAAGGCTCGGGGGGACAAGGGGGGTGACGTGCCCAAGGTCATAGGCGAGTAGGCAGCGGGGCTGGGGCGCGAACCCCGACAGAACGACTCCAGGGCCCGCGACATCCTCCCCTTCAACACCAAGCACTTGCGGGGCTCCGCCGCCCTCCGGCCCCAGGCACCGATCGCCTCCGCCCGCCGCGCCGCTTACCTCCCGCAGCCCGAGCGCCCAGCATCCGGCAACGGAAGCTCGCCTCAGCCAGCCGGGAAGCCGCCTCAGCGTTCCGCCGCCGCGCGGGCACACGAGCGACTTCCGTTCCCCCACGGCTTCCGTCCGGGACGTCCCAGCGGAAGTGCTTCCCCCAGTACGGTCCGGGTGGGTACCGGTTCGCGGCTTTGCGAAACCGCTGCTGCGCTGACCCGAGGGGTCGCCCCTAGCCGTCCTGTGGCAACCGAGTGCTTGGAAAGGAGTGAGTGCGAACTGATGTGCTTTAAACGTAAAATACACACCGGATGTCGAAGAAAGAGTGCGGAAGAGCTCATCAATCATGTTTATATTGATTACGTGTTGAAACAATATTTAGGATATACTGGGTTAAATGAATATAATTTAAATTGGTTTCACCTGTTTTTACTTTTTTAATGTGGCTACTGGGAAATTTTAAATGGCATACGTGGCTCACGTCCTCTTTCTACTGGACAGTGCTGAGCTGTAGGTTAAAGACTTCCCATTCCCTGTTCCAGCCTGGACCCCCCAGCCCCCGGGGTGGGAGTTACAGACCCATGGTTCGGTTGCATAAGGGGCACCTCCTCTTGGGTATCTAATGACTGACCCTAACTTAATACAGAACTCTTGGGCGCCTGGGTGGCTCAGTTGGTTGGGTGACTGCCTTCGGCTGGGGTCATGGTCCCCGAGTCCTGGGATCGAGTCCCGCATCGGGCTCCCTGCTCGGCAGGGAGCCTGCTTCTCCCTCTGACCCTCTCCCCTCTCATGCTGTTTCTCTCTCTCTCTCTCTCAAATAAATAAATAAATAAAATATTTTTAAAAAAATACAGAACTCTTCATTTCCATACTCTCATCCTCACCCAAAACCTGTTCCTTCCCAGTCTAGACCATCTCAGTAAATGACCCAACCATCCTCCCAACACTAGGAGAAATGGAGGAGTCTTTTTTTTTTCCTCTCCCTCAAACTCTACAACCTGTCAGCAAGTCCTGTCAGCTCTAACTCCAAAATGTCTCAAATTTATCCACTTCCCTTGCTATAACTCTGGCCCAGGCCACCTTCATCTCATCTGACACTACTGCGATAGCCCGCAGTGGTTTCCTTGTTTCCGCCCCCCTTGTCTCCTACAGACTATTTCCCATAGGGAGCCTAAGATAATTTGTTTGGGACCCTTGGGTGGCTCAGTCGGTCAAGCCTCTGACTTCTGCTCGGGTCATGATCTCAGGGTCCTGGGATGGAGCCCTACATTGGGCTCCCTGCTCAGCGGGGTGTCTGCTTCTCCTTCTCCCTCTGCCTCCCCGCACTCATGCTCTCTCTCTCCCTCTCTCTCAAATAAATAAATAAATAAATAATCTTAAAAAAAAAAAAAAAAGAATGTTACCATGGTGGGCATCTGGGTCTTAATTCTGTTGGGGAGTTCCAGGAAACAGTGTAGTACACACACCCCAGAATTATTTCATCCAAGAGGAGAGGAAGCTAGAGTAGTTCTATGTTAGCAGTCAGGGTGGAAAGACACTCGTATGTGTATTAGTTCCTCAGCACTTCTGCTCTGTCTGTGCAAGGAGGTCTGTGGTTTGGAAGAAAGCCCATGTGTCAGTAAGATGTGGACACTGGCCCCAGCACTCTGAGTCAGTAAGACTCTGGGGGCCCTGCTGCAATGACTTGTTTGACTCCTCATTAGAACTCTATGAGGTTATTAGTGGCCCACTTGAAGGCAAGAAAACTGAAAATACAAAAGGTGGTCACATGCTGAAGCTGGCATAGTGCATGGCAGAACTGGGATCCACCCACAGGCTGGTCTGACCCCACAGCGCTATTCTTACCACTGACTAAGTGAAAGTCAAACTGGCTGGGTTCCCATTGAGGCTCTGACACCATGATAGATAGCCAAGGCCAAGTGAATCACCCCTGCTGATTCCCAGTTTCTTTGCCTATAAAGTGGCTGCTATGTGGAGAATGCACTGCATTGGGGGTAAGAGGATGCAGAGACAAATAAGGAGAGCATTTAGGAGGCTGTGGCAGTTGCCCAAAGATCGTTGAGTCCAGGACCGTTGTGCTGTCTTGGGGCAGTGAGGATGATGGAAACAAACCTGGATTTCAGGAGTTTGAGACACTGGAATTAAGCTCATACTCTCTTCTTAGATAACTGCTGGGTGGCCAATTCAGTCAAAAATACAAAGGCCAGAAACTGGATTATGGTTCTTAATTTTTACTGTGGCTTTTCCAGGTAACCTAGAATGTGATCTGATCATTTGGGGTTATTATCAGTACCGTGAGGGTACAACGTTTCAGAATTCCTGGAAAACGCTTAAACTCAAGAGACAAGTTCCTGGACACTCTGGGATCTAAAGACTCCAGTTGGAGAAATATTCAGGTTTACTGTGAAGTTTTTTACTGCAAAGGGAAGATGTCCTATCCTAATGTGGCCCCGGGGGGGCACCTCTGCCACACAGAGCCCCACTATGGTGGCAGCACCTGCATCCAACATGAGTTATGTTGAGGAGGGGGATGCCTTCCACAATGCCAAGGGTGACAATGCCCCTTCTACTTCCCTGGTGACCATCAAGCACGGGCCCTGTCCTTCCATGCATACCAACTCCGTTTCAGGTCCTGCTTATGGTATCATCATGACCCTTCCCTCTTTACTCTCAGTCTTGTCCTCTTAGGGTCACAGGAGAGAGGAATTCTAGAGCTGGAAGGAAGCCAATGTGAGAGGGTTTCAATGTGAGAGTCAGGGAAAAGTTAGGGTTTGAACCCAGGTCTCTAGGGCTCTTAGAACTGGTTTTCAAATCTGGCCCTTCCCTTAGCAGCCCCATAGGGAGATGTCACCTTCCCCCTCTGTGGGCAGGGCAGGAGGCTGCAATTCTGATTGCTCATAGAATGAAGCTGGCAGCATGAGGGATGTTCTGTTATGCTGGCACCCCCCAACACACACACACACACACACACAAACAGCTGTGCCCAACATCCCCTACTATCCTGCCCTACACCCATACCAGCCCACATGGGGAACCAGGGACCATTTCCCACCACCCTCCCCATAACATCTCACCACATTCCAACCACAAGGGTCTACTTTCAGTTGCCATGTTGTAGAGTCTTGAACAGTGATGTGTCTTGGACAATGAAGGTGATGAAAATAAACCCTCCTCCTCAGATTCCAGGAGTTTCGAAGCCCCTTTGATCCATCTCACCCCAGGATCTCTCACCTGGGATGCCATTCCCCCTTCCACCTAACTCTTACTGGTTGGTAATAGTTCCGTTACTGAGCTATTATTCCTCCCCTGCCCTTTCTCCACCAATGGCTCGGCTACAGGACTTGTTTTGGCCAATGGAATGAGAGAAGACATAATGCAGACAGAGGATGTAACCGTGCTTGTGCAATTTGCTTGTCTTTGAACTCCAGTGACTTGCCAGGAGAAGAGAACATGCCCTGAGAGCTGATGTACCTTCATCCTGGGCTCCAGGAAGAACACAGAGTAGACTTGAGCCCAACCCATAGCCTGCAGCAAAGCCACCCAGCCAAGCCCAGCTTATAATGATCAAGCTGCAGTCAACATGCAGCCCCAGGAGCATGAAAATAAATGCTTGTGGCTGTGGGTTGGGTTGGGCTCCTGCACCGCGCCCCCCCCCCCCCCCCCCCCGCCCATAGCATTACAGCAGTAGGAGCTGATTTTTAGCATACTCCTTTAGATGAACATTAGCTCCCATGTCTCCTTCTGAGAGAAACCTCCCCTAAACCCCTAGAGTAGGTCAGGTCCCCGCTGGGCCCTCTGCTATCTCCATGTCTGCTTAATCTGTATCACACATATGATTGTGGGAGATCTACTGGATTTCAGTTCCCTGTGCATGGGGACCTGTCAGTCTTGTTCTCAGCAAATCAGCTCCTGGCCCCAAGAACTAGCACAGAGAAGGCATGCACTAGATATTAGAACAGTGAATTGACAGATGGATGGGCAGATGGATGGACGCATAGGCAAGGCTGGAGTATCTCTGCTCACCTGCATCTCCCCAGGCTTCCAGAACTAGCTCTGGCTCTGGCTTGTTATGCGACTTCACAGAACAAGGGCCTCAGTTCCCTCATGCAAAGGCTTGCTTAGAACTGCTTAGTTCTACAATAGCCACCAGCCACATGTGGCTACCAAGCACTTGATATGCAGCTACTGTGAATGAGGAACTAAATTTTATTTAAATTTAATTCATTTTAATTTAAAAACTGACAATTCAATTATTGGAAAATTGTAGTGCATTTGGAACAACTTGGCCTGTGAATCTACTTTTTTCAACTATAAATTTTATGCAATATATATATAAATCAAGAATTTCCAATTGGGACGCCTGGGTGGCTCAATCGTTAAGCACCTGACTCTTGGTTTCAGCTCAGGTCATGATCTCAGGGTTGTGAGATCCAGCCCCATGTGCTCAGCATGGAGTCTACCTGAGATTCTTTCCCCTTCTCCTCCCTCCCCCTCTGCTCCTCCCCCTGCTTGCGCTCTCACTCTCTAAAAATAAATAAATAAAATATTTTTAAAAAAGAATTTCCGGGCGCCTGGGTGGCTCAGTTGGTTAAGCGACTGCCTTCGGCTCAGGTCATGGTCCTGGAGTCCCTGGATCGAGTTCCGCATCGGGCTCCCTGATGGCAAGGAGCCTGCTTCTCCCTCTAACCCTCCCCCCTCTCATGTACTCTCTCTCATTCTCGCTCTCTCAAATAAATAAATAAATCTTTAAAAAAAAATAAAATAAAAAATAAAAAAAGAATTTCCAATGAAAATTTGGCACCTAAATAGAGCTGTGCTGTAGATATAAAATACACACCAGATTTCAAAGAATTAGTATTAAAAAAAAGTAAAACATCTCAATAGATTTTTATATATGTGAAGTGATATTTTTGACACATTGAGTTAAATAAAATATATTATTAAAGTTATTCTCAGGGCACTTGGATGGCTCAGTCGGTTAAGTGTCTGCCTTGGACTCAGGTCATGATCCCAGGATCCTGGGATCCAGCCCTACCTTGGGGTCCCTACTCGGCGGGGAGTCTGCTTCTCCCTCTCCCCACCACTCACTCTCTCTCTCACCAGCTCGCTCTCTGTCTCTCAAATAAATAAAATCTTTTCAAAAAAATAAGGGGCACCTGGGTGGCTCAGTCATTAAGTGTCTGCCTTCGGCTCAGGTCATGATCCCAGGGTCCTGGGATGGAGTCCCACATCAGGCTCCCACAGGGAGCCTGCTTCTCCCTCTCCCACTTCTGCTCCCCCTGCTTGTGCTCTCTCTCCCTCTGTCAAATAAATAAATATTTTTAAAAAATAAATAAACATTAAAAAATAAAATCATTCTCACCTCTTTACATTTTAAAATGTGGCTACTAGAAAATGTTTAATTACGCATGTGGTTCACATTACATTTCTAATGGATAGTGCAGGGCCAGGATGTCTCCAAGGTGCACATGGCTCTGAAGCAAGAAAGACCTCATTTGAATCCAAGCTCAGACACCTCAGAGCTGTGTGACTTTGAGCAAGTCACGTTCCCTCTCTGAGCCCCAATTCCTGCACCTGTGAAATAGAGATCATAGGTGTGTGGTGAAGATCCAATGAAGAGGGCGCCTGGGTGGCTCAGTCGGTTAAGCGTCTGCCTTCAGCTCAGGTCATGATCCTGGAGTCCGGGGACAGAGTCCCACATCAGGCTCCC